ACACAACACACAACACACAACACACAACACACAACACACACCACACACCACACAACACACAACACATAACACACAACACACAACACACAACACACAACACACAACACACAACACACAACACACAACACACAACACACAACACACAACACACAACACACAACACACAACACACAACACACAACACACAACACACAACACACAACACACAACACACAACACACAACACACAACACACAACACAACACACAACACGCAACACACAACACACAACACACAACACACACAACACACAACACACAACACACAACACACAACACACAACACACAACACACAACACACAACACACAACACACAACACACAACACACAACACACAACACACAACACACAACACACAACACACAACACACAACACACAACACACAACACACAACACACAACACACACAACACACAACACACAACACACAACACACACACACACAACACACAACACACAACACACAACACACAACACACAACACACAACACACAACACACAACACACAACACACAACACACAACACACAACACACAACACAAACAACACACAACACAAACAACACACAAACAACACACACACAACACACACACAAACAATACACACACAACACACACAACACACACAATTTTGCATTTTCATCCCCCCAGTACAGCGTTTCGTGGCCCCATAGGGAGCTCCACCGAAGCCCCTACTGGGATCGCCCGCATGCGTCCCACACGCCCAAGTTGGCATTCCCCCCCCCCCAGTACAGCGTTTCGTTGCCCCATAAGGAGCTCTACCGGCGACCCCAGTGGGACCGCCCGCATGCGTTCCACACACCCAATTTGGTATTTACACCCACTCAGTACACTGTTTCGTGGCCCAATAGGGAGCTCCATCGAAGCTGCCAGTGGGACCGTCCGCATGCGTCCCGAAAACCTAACTTGGCATTTTCACTCACCCAGTACAGCGTTTCGTGGCCACATAGGGAGCTCCACCGAAGCCCCGAGTGGGACCGACCGCCCGCACGCGTCCTACACACCCAATTTGGCATTTTCACCTGCCCAGTACATTGTTTCGTTGCCCCATAGGGAGCTCCACCGAAGCGCAGCCCGTGGCACCTGGAGGCTCCCGCGGTGACTTTTTGGCCTCTTTGGGCGGGGCATGTGGCGCAGCCTGCGGCGCAGCCCGTGGCGCAACCGAAGGTCACCCCCGGACATGCAGTGCTTAGTTCTGCGCATGCCACGTGCAAAGATCTGGGGAGGAAAACATGCGGAAACCGCCACCCTTCCCTCGTTTTCGCCCCGTGTGGGCCTCCTGAGAGGCCCTCGTCGCCACGGCTGGATTCGCTTCGAAATCCTGGCCAGGACGCACCACGAGAGAGCTCCGGGAAGTTGCGGTATCGGTACCCCAGTTGCAGTGCCCAGTTCCGCGCATGCCAAGTAAAGCGCTCCTCACTGCAAGCACTTGAGGCCGCCTCGGAGCAGTCTTTTCGGGTCCCCCTCCCCCTCCACCCCTCCTCCTGCTTCTCCTCCTCCTCGTCCTCGTCCTCCTCCTCCTCCTCCTCCTCGTCCTCCTCCTCCTCCTCCTCCTCTTCCTCCCCCTCCTCTTCCTCCATCTCTTCCTCCTCCTCCTCCTCCTCCTCCTCCTCCTCCTCCTCTTCCTGATCCCACCCCTGGTGCATGGGGGCCTGTTTGCAGCCCTTCCCATCCGTGTCGGCCCCTCTGGGCGTGCAGAGTGCCCCCCCCAGCCTCAGGCGGCGCGTGAGCGGCCCCGCTGGCGCTGCGGCCAGCGGCGCTGTGCGGTGGAGGGACTCGTCACGGCAGAGGGAATGGGGGCGGGGTGTGGAAGGAGGTAGGGGGAAGAGAAGGTGGAGGAGGGGGAGGGGGGAGGGGCAAGCTAGGTGCGCTCGCGTCATATCTGACATCCTACCCCTCCCTCCCATCCCTTACCATGGCGCAGATCCCCTCTCTACTCGCACAGTCGGATGTCAAGCAGGGCAATGATCCCGAAAGGGTACGCGATGCATTGTAGAGCACGGCATGGCATGGCGTAGAAGAGCACCGCGAAGCGTAGTATCAACCTAGCATTGCATTGCATGCCGTGGCATGGCACGGGAAATGACGCCAGCGCTGCAGCGGGAGCACGAGTCGAAACGAGCGGAAGCGCGGAAATGAGGCCAGCGCTGCAGCGGGAGCACGATTCGGAACGAGCGGAGGCACGGAAATGAGGCCAGCGCTGCAGCGAGAGCACGATTCGGAACGAGCGGGGCCCGAAAATGAGGCCGGCGCCCCAGCGAGAGCAGCATTTTGGGAAAAAATGCAGGCGAAAACCTAACTCCGGGGAAAGCTTCCTGGGCGCCAGAAGCAGAAATTCAGTTTTTTCAATAGAACAAATTGTATTGGAATGGTCTTTTTTCGGCGCCGCCTCGGAACTCGATTTTCAGGGGGAGGGGATGGGTCAGGAGGAGGGGGAGGAG